TATCGTATCGTGACCTGTCTGTCATGATATGTATCGCATCGCCAAATTCTTGCCAATACACAGCCCTATTAGCTTACGTTGGGAGTTAGTAGTAAAACATGTAATGATTATGTTGTAAATCAGACCTGATTATAAAAGAGGTGTTGAAGCAGCTGCTCTCTGACTCTGAACTGTTTCTGTTTCTTCAGTCTGAAACGGTTCCCTGGTTACGACGCAGAGAGCAAAGAGTTCAACGCCGAGGTGCACAGGAAGCACATCATGGGCATGAACGTGGCGGACTACATGTCCTACCTGATGGAGGAGGACGAGGAGGCCTACAAGAAGCAGTTCTCTCGTTTCATCAAGAACGGAGTGACGCCGGACACAGTAAGACCCTCAGCCTCCAAACTGCTGCTGTTCTGCTTCTCCATGATGATCCACTGACAGCTGATGTGCACTGATGCATGTTTCAAGACGGGACTGAAAGAGGCAGGAGCCATGGCTGTGGAGGGAAACTTCTGAAAATGGAGCTTAAATGTTGCTTTGTTTGTTTCTTTGTTTGTTTTTCAGGTAGAAGAAATGTACAAAAAAGCGCACGCCGCCATCAGAGCGAACCCCGTACACGTAAAGAAACCCAAGAAAGACGTCACAAAGAAAAGGTGGGTTCTGTTTGCTGCGCTCTTGATGTTTGAAGACTTAAAGTAGGCCTGGGCAATAAACTGAAAATTAAACAATACCAATATTTATTTCAATAACCCACGTAATTTTGCCCGTGTCTGTATTTTCGTTAAATGTTGCGGTCTCGTTAAAGCTGCCCAGTCTGATACATGTTTAAACAGACGCTGCTTTCWACAAATCAAACAAACCCCACAGCTTTATCCAATCAGAGCAGAGCAGGGTGGGTCTTTGATGTCGGTGCAGCGGTCTGCAGGTTAAACATGGTCAGCCTGTAGCTCCTGTCCTGAGTGAACAAACCTCATCCTCCACACTTCACTCCTGATGTTTTCATTGTGCACAAAATCTATACATACGTCACTGAAGAGGTGGATACTACGTTCACATGCAGTCTTCGTGGAAATTAGAAAGAAAAAAACGTTTTAAACACATTAAACTGTCATATTTATATAATGCGTTGTACTATAAACACATTTTCTATTAAACACTTWTACACTCAGTGTAAAGAACATGAGATATGAAACACAACTCTAAGTTATGTTTCATATCTACATATCTTCTAATGTCCATCATATGGTGAATAAGTTGTTCTGTAGGGTTAATATAATTTTAAAACTGATTCTGATGAACTGAGTGCCTCACCATCCATGAACCTYACATTAGAACGTATACAAAGCCCACCTTGCTGAGCTGGGGTAGCACAGGCCCCCCCTGGTGTGGACACTGGTGGTGTGCCCGATGGAAATGGTGGACATGACTGTCCCGGTTGCTCCTCCGTGGTCGATAAAGCTGGAGAAGCGGGCTCAGAAGTGTCTGGTGGTGTTGAAGAGTCTAAACAAAAAAATAGTTCTACAGAACTTCGCTAGCATGTTATGCTAACTGTTGCCACACRCATGGCTCAACACAATAGGCAGCTAGCAAACTAGCCACTTAACTCAACAGCCAAAATAAACACAGACCCACAAGACCTCTTTAACGTGATTGAGAAAAGTCAAAATTGGTAGAATTTAAAAAAAAAACACCACAAACTCACCATCTTCTACCATTCTCTCCAGCAAGTGGGAGGCAGAGTCCAGGTAGGGTGATTTGTCTCCTGTTACTGGAGGGCCGCTGTCCAAAAATCTGGTCCATTTTGTCAAAACACCGCCAATAGCCTACATGCCACGGACATCCGGCCCAGCTCGTCACTCGGCTTTAGTCTACGCTGTAATTTACACTCTAACAAGGTTTTACTTTTCATAAAACTCGTGACAGTCACGTAAAAACATTTCATATAACACAAATGCGCACGCACATACCTACCTTTGTACCGGCTGCTGTGTTAGCTTCCTGCTAGCTGTCATGTGGAGGAGGTCTTTCCTCTCTCGGTCTTGGCAGTAAAAGGGGACAAATGTACATTTCCCTTTTGTACCTCCGTCTTTCATTTCTGATGCTGACTCTTGAATATCCTCAGGTTAGAAATGCTGATTACAAACACAAGCGTGAACTTTTAAAGAAAAGTTTTCCCTGTAATGCTATGATCCTCTGCTGTCACCTCCTCATCAAGAGGAAAAAGGATAAAAACTAACTACTGAATCGTTCTGCTGGTTAGTGGACACAACGACACACAACAGAACTCATGTTTTATACCAGTAGATCACAGATGCTTTAACTTTTGTGACTTTTTCACAGACTAGTACTAGGAGCTAACGCTAAAAACATAGGCAATAAGCAGGGAGTGGAAGTGAGGAGCGTGGCAAGAATTTTACCAGAAATACGTCATTAATGACCGTGGTAAATAGGCTATTCTTCCGTCCTCGTCCACTTCAGCCATTGTGGTCTTTTAGGTCGTATTCACACCTGATAGTCCGGTAGACTCGGTTCGATTGGGGACCAAAACTGCAAGCTGTTTTTACGTTTTCTGTTGGTGCGGTTTGAATTTACACTGCACTTTCTCAACCGAACTAAACCCTGTTAACAACCTGTTCCCGCCCTCACCTGTGGGGGCGCTGCAAAGAACCACTAAAGGAATCAACATGAAAACCTCAGAAGAAGACATGGAGCAGCTTCCTTCTTCACAAAATGTAAACAAACAATAGTAACGTTACATTTTAGTGATTATAGGGTTTATTTTTGGTTTTTGGCAAATGTGCTAAACAAATAGTCTTCAATGAGCTCAGCATGAGAGGAAGAGATGAGAAGGATGCCTTGTGTTTTGCACACAAGGCGGCTGAGGAAGCTCCGTGTTAATCAAGTAGGAGCGCGTCCAGCTCCACAGTTAGGATGTCCACCTTATTCAGTCGTCCAGCGAGGTGTTTACTAGAGGTGACCTGGAATAGTCGCTGATTCGACTGTTTGGTTCGGAGGACTCTGATTCGGCTATGAACGTCATGGTCGAATGTTGTTTTTTAATCAAGATCGTACCATTCTGACTACATGGGGGTGCCCAAGGTTGCTAAGCATTAGTTACATTGAAAGTCTTTGTTTTCATTATATATAGCCTTTTGTCAAACAAAATCATCCTAATTTCTGGTAATAAAAAATGAAATGTGTGCATTTAAGCAATAGGCTTCTTCCTTACTTCACATTAATAAATCACCCACTGCAGTGGTACAATCCACATGAGCAGAGCTGAACACGCT